CATTCGTAGAACACCCGTTAGCTTTGAAAGTTGGGCACATTTTATGTTTTGAATAGTATTCATTTAGCTTTTTTCCTTTATTTTCTACGGAAATAAGTTAAGTCATGGTTTTGTAGAGAATTTCACGGCGCATCTTTTGGTAGAACAAGCAGCTCTAAAGATCAAAAAGAAAAAAGTTATAGTCAAAATACTGAGACCTTCATTTATTCTGGGACATCCGTTAGAAGAAACTGTTTTAATACTTTCTAGCAAGAAATAAATCACAGAAAGTTGAGCATGAATCTTATGCTCTTATAGCTACAAGAGAAACATTTTATGAAACATGATCAAAAATGAGTGTTGAAGTACACGGAAAAAAAAATTTGGACTCTCTAGAACTCATAAGGTCGGTTTCTGACCTGAAGAGTTCCGGTTCGATTCCAAAAAATTTCAATCAACCGTGTGTGGGTTTCAAAGACGTTCAATAAGTTGAATCCAGATTTGAAAATTTTGTACCCGTCAAGGATGATGAACAATTATGCGCCAAAACAGGTAAAATAAAACAATCTGTCTGTGATTAACAAGAGCAGCTATTTAGTATGTCACATTTTAATCTCACAGGGATTGTGCTAACAACTTTTTTCTAATTAAATAAATTTACCCGACGGATCCTGTTTGAGTAGCAGTAACAAAAACATCATTAAAAACAAAGCTAGACATGGTTGACCATAGATGTTTTGATAAATTTTCTTCCCTAAACAACAAACATTCATTAGATATATAACTATATATAAATATTGTTTTTTGAAGAATTTATTATTGAATAATTACCATTGTCGACTAGGAATTTGACTAAGATTAACAACTTCATCAAGAATTTCACCACGAGTTTTTTCAAATAATTCATCCTGAAAAACCAAAAACAGATTTTAAAGAAAAATAAATTCAATAAACAAACTCGATCTTGTTCACGTATTTTTGGAAAACTATTTTTCCATTCAGTTTCTAAATTAAATCTTGTTGCTTTAAATGTATCAGCTTGTTGTTCAACACTTTCTTTAACCATTTTCCAAAAACAATCACTAACTGCAAAACTTAAATTTCGTGTTGTTGTTTGTGTAGCTTTAAATACTCCATCACTTTAAATTATGAAATTAATTAATTAATTAAAAATAATCAAAAGAAAATTTTCATACCGAAATAATTTAGAATTTCGAAAAAATTCTTCTTCATATTTTTGAATAGATTCTATTGGATCATCAGCATTTCCTAAAAGTATTTTAGCGTAAATTATTTCATCTTCTTGAAAATATTTAATATGATATTCTATCATAGAGTTTAGAACTTCCATTAATATTTCTTTTTAATCGAAATATTTACTCGTTTAAACTCTCGTGCATTAGATATAATATTAAATCTTTCATCAAATTCTAACCTTTGCCAGTGACAACTGCAAAATAACCTAAAGCTTTCATTGGAAATAGTTTGCCATCAAGAATTTTTTTAATCTAAATCAAAAATTAATTTGTTTTTTTAAATTTGTAAAAGACTCCATCGGATTTTACGATCTATCTTAAATCAGGATGTCATATATGTAGTGTCGTAAAACACTTCGTGATGCATTGGTTATAATGCTTGAGAGATATTATAAAACAAACTTATTCAAATTTTTTAGAAGAGCATTTCGATAGCACCTATAACTGTATTACATTGAGTTTAACATTAGAATATCCGATGGATTACAATGTCTCTGAGTATCCTATAATATTTCCTAAGTATTATAACTAGTGTATCGAACCTTAGCACATGAAAATTTTTATCAAATTTGATTTCTTTTATACCATTCGATGCACCATGAATTGCTCTACAAAACCACATATGTGGTATCCTGGTTCAAGATAGATCACCAAATCCGGTGGAGTCTTTACTAACTCGATCAGTATCATGAAGATTAGCTTCAGCTAAATCGACTTTGGTTAAAACAAATATAGTTCTTTTACCATATGGATCCATTTTTGAAACAAGTTCTGTTACATTACTACGTTCTGCATCAACACTTCCATCTGAAAAAAAACAAGGTTTCGAATGCAAACATCAATGAAATATTTCGGTACCTTGTATACAAAGAATAATAGCATTCGGATTTGAGATATAATTATTCGCCAAACGAGTAATAGCATTTTTTGTATCTGATGCCATACCGATTGTTTCAGTCTAGACCGTAAAAAAAAGAAAAAAATTAAGAAAAAAAAAATATTAATAACTTACACTAATAATTCCAGGTAAATCAACAAGTACCATACGTTGAAGACCGGGACCTTTAACTGACAATGAAATAACCTAAATTATTTGTTTATTGAATATTTTTGAGATTAAAGAAATTTTCAAACGAACTTCACTACTGATTGTTTGACCTTCTCGAACTGATGCACGCATTCGCAGTTCAATTTCTTTTCGAAGAGCAGCTAACTAGAAAAAAAAGCAAATGCAAAATCTTTTTTCTTCAAAACAATCACATGCATACATCTGTTTCTTTCGTTAAATCATATTCTTTACGGCTATCTTTAAAAGTTGCAACATGATAAGGACCTTCACTTAAAGTAACTTTTACTGGACTACGTGTCATCATTTCACCAGCACCTCTAGAAGCATAGATCGGATATGAAAAATATAAAAGAAAAACAAAATAGACATGAACAAACCGAGGAAATATACGTGCTTGTGTTATCATTTCGAGAACACTAGTTTTACCCGAGCTTTGATCACCAATAACAACTACCTAAATAGAAACAATTAATTATACTATTGTTAAAAACAATCGATAGAGATTCATTGTTATATTATGCATTCATGACATTTTAATTGAATTATATTGTTCTAGGTATGTATTGAGAACATTTACAAGAGAATGTTTGTAAGTGTCAAACCACTTTCAAGTCGAGACTATGTGCATCATGTAGATTCTAATGAGTTATGAATACCCTGAAAAAGAGTCCGAACTAATTGCGTATTACTGTTGAAATAGTGTTTTTTTTAGCACAATGCCGTGGTCTACCTCGGGAAGATCAAGAAAACTGAGTTCCGAATTTCTACTTGAAAATTTGCATAAAGATAAACTTTAATGAGATATATTTTATTATAAAATAAGTAAATTCCGATGTTCTTATTTCAGAATAAGTCCAACCAAAATATCTGAAACTTTCACAACAAGTTATTCTCATTATGGTTTGTCCTTATGCAAAGTTGCAAGTTGAAATTCGAAACTCAGCTTTTCTGGTCATTCTAAGAAGTACACTATTTTCGCAGCAAAAAAAAAGATCAGATAAATAGAGTTCAAACTAACTTCTAATCTTCACATGTCCATGATAAACTTAAGTGATAGAAAAAAAGTTTAGCAATAACGTAGTTTTTTCCTATAATGTTAAGTAATTAGCTAAAATTCAGATAGTGATTTTAATAGTCAATGGAGTTTTTTTCTACAAAGATTTCATAGATAACCTATGATGGCAAGGTTTCTAAAAAAAAAAACAAGCACGCGTTTTGAGATCTCAGAAGCTATCATTTAAGAATACCATCTTAAAGAGAACAAAATGAAGGTCACCGCATTTTCTCCGACTTCTCTTTAGAAAGCTAAGCGTAGCAAAAAAAAGAAATTTATGAAAAAATCAACTAATAAACGATTTCTTTCAGGAAAGGTCGCAGAAAATGTGGCAATTCCTCATTTTGTTCTATATTGAATTACATTATTAAAAAATATTCTTATACAACCTGAAAACTGAAATGTCAATTTTTTTAGAAATCTTGCTATAGAATGCATTAGATATGATTAAATTTTTTTTCATCAGTTCAGTAATAAATTTATTTTATCAATTGTAGTTTGTACAGATCGCAAGTGATGGTCATGCTAGGGTTAAGATTATATTTCATGCATTGTTTGTTAGAACCTTACGAAAATTCTTTTTTTTTTTAATTAATAATCATATTTACTCGAGGTAAATGATCTTGAATATTATAATTAGTATCATATTCACTTAATTCATCTAATACTTCACTATACATATCAATGAGTGATTTCTTCAAAAAAACAAAACAAAACAAATTAAAATTTTTATTTGAATTAAAAAAAAAAGACAAACTTTAATTCGTCGTTGTTTTTTTAAGTTTGTAGTTCGATCTTGTTTTAATAGAAGTTGTTTTTTCAATGATTGTAATTCTTTTTCTAATCGATCTATTTCACGTTGATATTTTATTTGTATAGTCATCATTTCTTGTTGAATTTTTTCTTGACGTTCATGAGCTTGAAATTGAGCGGCCTAATTTCAAATAAAAGAATAATTCAATGAAAATTTCATGAAAAGAAAAAAAAAAAATACTAACTTTGTTTAGTTTTTCTCGTTCTTCATTTGTTGTCTGCATATTTTGATATGATTTTGCGAATGTAAAAAGATCATCTAATTGAAAAAAAAAATAAAAAATAAAACAAAAATTAAATTTTCATTTTTTTTTCTTTTACTTGATGGTTTTCGTTCATAATTATTTAAGGAAAATGATGGACCAAGAATTAATAATTCTAAAAATGCAACATATTTAGTTTAGTACAATTGAAAAAAACTATTCTAACTTGAAGATGTTTTTGTTAAAAGATAATCAGTTAATCTTTCATGCAATTGCCTAATGCGATTTTGTATATTAGTCTATACAAACAAAACATAATAAGAATCGTTGATAGGAAAAACATTCTTTTACAGTGTCAGGAAATGTAATAGAATCTTTTAGATCAAACAAATGTTTAGTTAATGCATCGACATTTTCTTCAGGCATATATTCTTTCATCCATGATATATCAGGTAATTTATCTTGTAATTCTTTATATTTCTAGAAAACACAAAATTTATTTAAAATAAACGATAAGAGTAAATGACACTTACTTTATGGACTACATAACTACCGCCAGCAGTTGTACTAAGGACTAAATAACGTAGACGAAGAAGACGAAGTAAAGACGACATTTAAAATCTAATGATAATTAACGAAAAAGCTACGTCTTGAAAAAAACTTGATGGAAAATCTAAGTATTGCATTATAAAGTAATACAAGTGGATCATTCACTTGAACCAATGCGATCTTTATGAGCAGAATACACTACAATAGCGCCATCTATCGATAGCAAAGAATAACTTCCCAATGGTAGAGAGAGAGAGAAAACCCAGCCTTGTGGACTTGTATTGTGATCAGATTTTTTATGTTGTAGCAAGGCTTTCATTAGTTTAGAAAAATAGAAGTGTTCAACAATTGATAAATCAATTTTCGGTTCTCTCCTATAAAGAAAACAAAATAGTACACTAATTTTCATCTCTATATGCTTATCTATCTTTAGTACTCAGTTGATCTTGGTATGAATAAGAACAATTGCGGTTAATAGAGTAATTTAGCTAATGAATTTTCAAGCATTGATGAAGTTCGAAAAAAATTCTTATTAAACATGTGCCAATATGATTTTGCTGAACGAGTTCGTCATAGAAACTTGTACATAATTCAGAAGTGATACGAGATATATTTTGATTATCTTAGCAGAAATATAAAGTAAACTTTTGATTACGAAATAAGAGTTTCTTATTTTTGAGAAATGGATAGTTTAGATCTTATAATCGATATTGTACTGAATTGAATTCGATAAATGTTCTCATAATTTGAGCCGATCATTGCTGACCTTCATAAAATATTTCGCTTTTATTTAGTCAAGGATTTGTCCACGTTTCCCAGTGAACTAATCTATCCAATTTCTGACATAGTTTCTTCTGTGCACAGGTAGAACACAGTGGACTTCTATTCTGTGGTGGTGGAGTATTCATTTTACATCCATGGCATGAAAAAAATTGGTTGAATTCAATGTATTTGCATTCACTAAATTTTGTAGGTTGTGTTGTTGTTTATCTTCTATGGAAAAAATTAAGAAAAATTTTCAGCTTTTATTTTGAAGAAACAAGAGTCAACAGGCAAGAATAGGGTTAGGAAAAATTGCTGTTTTCAATTTTGTCTCTTTTCATTTCTTACGTACACATGAAAAGAAATTATGATGAAAAATTAGAATAAAATCGATTATTTGTTTTGAGTAAAAAACGCTTAAAAGGGTACGTTCTTATTCTGATTGAAACCTGCTTGTTCAGCTTTAAAGATAAATTTCAATTAATGTCCGTCTTGTTTAATCGATTCATAAGATGTTATCGATTGAAATTCTTTTTAAAAATTGATTAAGAAAGATTAAACTCATACGAAATCTACGATCAAAGTTGAAAAGTTAGATTTTTATCTTATTAAACAAGCACGATATTTATTTATGAAACGTGATTGTTCTTTATAGAACTCTACGGATGATTATCTTTTATTATTAGCAAGAATATAGTTTAGCAACATATATTAGAGTTACATCGATTTGAAAGCACTAAAAATTACTAAATAAAAACCTCGTTCCATTCTGATAGACCATTGAGTTTCGTGATTTATTTTCTGAACAATTAAAGCGATAGTTCGACCACAACGAAGTCATTTATTCATGGACAAATATTTTTTCAAGGATAGATACTTCATCTTGACCTTCCACCATATTTGTAAATGGATAGTTCTCTGATTTTTCGGGACATTCGAACATTTTAGCACTTATTTTGCCAATGCATTTGTATCCATCTTTTTGAAGTACATGTGTTGATGCCGGCGACAAACTTATTCCGTAAGCTCGTTTAAAATGATAGCGGGATTGAATATGTTCCATAACTAATGGACGAAACCATGTATATACACCTTGATCATAAAATTCACGTAGTACACAACCCATAGATAAATATAATATTTGATGTTTGTTTGTTAACAAATATTCAAGTTTTATTTTGTCTGTTATACTCTTCTCGAGGTAGTTCTTGTATATATCATGACCTGCTTTTATCAACGAGACAATTATTTCAAATTTTTTATCTCGTGAAAGATCAGCAATACCAATCACATCAAAATGATCTTGTCGTAAATTAACCGCAATAATTCTATTAATGTATTTATATTTCGGATCTTCACTCGATGATTGCGCTTGTAATTTATCAACTGGCTCATAACGAACGTAATATAATAATGATTCGGCTTTGTTCACTGCTTTAGATATCACACTATTTGTAGACGAATACAGTTCTGTTGCATTGTAGCCAAGAGCCGAATGGACATGAGTACGCACAAAACTATTAGCCAATATCCATGAAAGTTCACCGATTAGGTCATTATCGTCTATTATCTTCTCGGGATTTCGCTGGTAATAATACAAAGCGAAGTCTCCCATACGATGAATTAATACTGATTGAGAAGAAAAGACTAAAGTGAAAAGAGAAAATTCATTCTGGACAGAACAATGCCTTCATTTCCATCTTCCAATATTAGAATCTTATTATAAGACGAAGACTTGAGCAAGGTTTAGTCGAACTCTTTTTGAATGAGTGCGTGAGCAAATGGGTGTAGGTGTGACGTTTCACTTCTTTCGCCGGTGCACACACCACATGGACGTATTCATCCAGCTATCCATTCTCAAGATTTGTACTGAAATTATGGCTATAGAGGATATAGTCAAGAAATTCTCAATTTTGTAAAGTTTCAGCGGCATTGCACTCAAAATGTAGAAATTCCTTTCACCACAAAAAAAAGATCTCAATTTTCGTATTTCTAATAATCTTTTCGATATCAATAGCAATCTTTTGATTGGAGCGTTGCTACTACATTCGAGCTGATAGAAAAGGCATACTGACTTTGGTCAATTGACCAAAACTATTACGTACTTTTCCACATAAAGAAGCAGATTTTAATTCCAATGTTTTGTTTTTGCACTTATCATCTTACTTTTGACTCTTCGATTGAATTCTTTTGCTATAACTACGACCATTCGTGCTCTGACTGATAGAAATAAACAGAGATAAGAACATTGCAATCAAACTTCCTTGTATCAAAAGTTTCAAGCTGCTTGAGACGCAACTATTCCCTCTTACAGCACAACTCTACAGTGTTTATTTCAATCTTTCGAGCAGAGTGTGGTTTATTGTTCATAACACTCGCTTACCGTATCTCATCATATTACCGAATATTGCAATGCCTGTACATATCATGGACAACAGAAGTCCTATCATCTTTTTCTTGCGCGCTTATCATATGTGCTTTGATATTTTGCACATATGTGCCTCTGCCACTAACTGGAAGCTGCATCTTTTATCGATAACAGATTTGGTGACTTTCTCATCTGTATCTCTTTATGCAGACTTGCCAACCTTTTTCTGAACATGTTTCTATCAGATGACATAATGATCTATTGATGGCCCAGAAATGCTACAATCGCAGTAATTGCTTTTCAGTTAATCAACAGCATAAACTGGCATTTTCTAATTGTTATCATGTTATGATCAAGGTTTTTTCTATATCGAAAAACTCAAAACTATCTTTTTCTACGAAGTCAACAAGAGCCCTTATAACGTTTAGAACTGAAGCTTATGAACGAAAATAGAGCGGTTTTATCAAGCACTTTATTATATAAGATTGTTCTAGAGTAAGTTAGTCTGTTTTTCATTGATTCTTCTGTAAAAGATGAAAGAATAGAGATGAATAACTTTTTTCTCAGCATCAATATTCCATCTGGTCAACAAAAATTTTAAATATTTATTTCATGCCGATTTTCCAACAGCAAAGAAAATAAGCACAGCTTTCGACATATTACGAACTGTATAATTCCGTTTCGATCGCAGGCAGAATCACATTCAGATTCCACGAAGGATGTTTTTGTCTATCGACTCATGTACGTGTATATTTTTTATGCCGTATCTCGGATTGTCAGTGAACAGTAAGACTAACAAGTGCTACTACAGTCATTGTCGCTACAATAATCCGGTTTACCACAGTTCGGTCCACTTACAAATAGACGTTATCTTACATGGAATAGCGCAGATCACAACGTCGAGGCTCTAATCGTTTTTGCAACAAATCAATGGAAAAATGGAATTTAAAGATTTTCGCACGATTCGATGAAGAGTACATTGAAATGCATTTGAAGCAAAAGTCGTACTATCCCGAAAACCAAATGACCGAAGCTCGGCTTCGAAACTTCACATTTTTGTTCAAGTGAACTAATTAACCTCAACTGACTACATTGTTTGACCGTGCTATCCTTCACTATTCTGGTGTTAAATATCAGCTGCATGACAACAAAAAAAAAAGAAGCAAGAGAATACAGCGAACGGGCTAAATGCAACTATTCATGAATCATCTTTTTGACATAAAAATTGTATATCAAAAGTTCCTGGATTACAATATGCTTGTCCTATTCATGGAATCTCTGAGCAATGTTATTTTTTTTAATACTTTTCAGTCAGAAGCACCGAAAAACTTTTCAGATCAAAATTTTAAATGAAGTCTGGAAGTCAACAAACTCCTTTTTGCGTCAGTTAGTGTCAAACTGTTGTAGGAATTCTAGGTTTAACTCTTATCAAGATATATGTGGTGAAGGTTCAATCGACATGAATATTCATTATAAATGCACTATCTCTCAATAAAACCTCAAGACTAAGATACTTTTAGAGACTATTACGGTTCTTCTACACAAAACAACAATCTTGTCTTACCATCTGTCGTCGTTTTTATTATTGACAGAAGTGAATCTTTGCCTGGAGACGAATTTTCAGTTTCGCTAGACATTTTAATCTGAAATTAACTAAGAAATTTCAGAAAAGTATCATTTAACAATGATATAAAAGATCGTAATAGACTACAGGATGCAACTTAGAATGGTCTCTGGTGAGTGACAGTTGGTTTCAAGGAGATATTAAAAACAGAAAGAAAGCAAGGCAAAATGGCTGTATACAATATCAAAGAGACACCAACACATGGTATTTCTTTGCATACAGAAGCTGCAGCGAGAAAAGTAATATGCATGAAACATTTTGTAATGCTTACGATAAAAGTAAAAAAGCAGAGAAAGCAAAGAACAGAAATAGAAAAAAGAACGAAAATCATTGCATAAGCACACGAGAAAAACGAAGCAATCTGGTCTTCATGCGAAACAGAAAAGATCAGACACCGAAGATAATGATTGCATGGTGTGAGGATATTTAAACTGAATAAATTACCGTATAGATAGTTTCTCTTATCGAAATAAGTACCATACAATCGAGTGTCATTTTATGTGATTGATGTCATCAATTGCGCATCTCTTTTTGTGCACGTGGCTCGTTGAAACGAGTAAAGAATATCCTAAACAACAGTGTTTCTTTAACAGTTTCTAATTCAGAACTGACAAAAAACAAGTTCTGAACTAAGTTTTGTGAAACAAGATTGTAAATAAATGCGGGTGTGGAGTGTGAATGTGGGGGAACAAAATCTACACACTCACATCCATCGTAGAAAAAGTTTATTATCATAGTGACTACCAGTTGAGTAAGGTCGGGCAATTTCAATGCTTGAAAAAGCAACATGACAGATAAGTCGAATTTTGCTTATTGAACCCAACGAAACACTTTCACGATTTAAATGCCTGCTGATCAATTAAAGAGTTAGATCGTTTATTATTTTAAATTACATCGCCAATTTTAGTACACTGTTAACAATATTTCATTTCAGTAAGACTCATCCATGCCATTTAATGCAATGGATCTGCTGTGTATAGACGAGAAACATCAATGAACTGTATAAATGCTCTGCTTAACTTTATTGACTAAATGAAACTTTTAAAACGCTTACGTAGTAGGAATTCCCGATTATTATTTACTAGTTGAGAGCTGCAAAATGCATGTAATAAATTATGATGAAAAATCGGAATAAAACCGATTAGTTTTTTAGGGGAAAAATCAGCTATAAGGACACTTTTTTGTTCTGATTGAAATCCGAGTGCTCAATTTTAAAGATAGATTTTAGTTTTTTATGATCAATTAACATAGTTTTATTGATTGAAACAGTTTTTGAAAAATCGATTAAGAACAACTAAAATCAAATTTTTCTTGTTTCTCACTTGAAAAATCTTCCTTGAAAAAAGAAATCAAGTTCAGGCTGGACGATCCATTTCGAGCCTGGCTACTATTATTTCCGCGTTCTAGTGTTGTATCAATTCACAATATCTGTTTTTATGAATGTAATAATGACGCTGAATAAGTGTAAATAGTCTGTGTCTATGATAGTCAAAAATAAAACATTGACTTTAAATAGATAAGATGTGTGAATTTGAAGTGAATGATGCAATTAAATGTCTATTTTATCGACACCCTCAGTCTCTCCTAGATTTCTTCACTTCTACCATCAAAACGTGAGAACAGTTTGATCGCGAAACGTTTTCTTCCTGTTGATTTTTTCCCAGTCAGAACAGAGAATCGTTTGATTTTAACATCAGTCGTAGGTGAGTCGGTTTTTTTCTTGAAAGAAAAAGAGAAAAATAAATAATCAATACTATGTACAACCCTCAAAAGAGAAACATAAAAAATTTTTCTTTTATTCTTTTTTTTACTTTCTTCTCAGCATAAAAAACATTAATAGTTATGGCAACAGTCACCCAACATCTTACAATAGGCCTTCAATACGCACGAAATTATGACTATGCCAAAGCCGAGACTGAGTTTGATCTATTACTCTCATCCGATCGGACTAATGTACTTGGTCTATATTATCGTGGTTGTACGAGAATTCATCTCAATAAATTTGAACTAGCCGTTGAAGATTTTAATTCAGCTATTTCGTCATCAAATTTATCACATGAATACGAACTTCAAGCACTATACAAGCGTGGGTTTGCTCATCAAAAACTTTATCAATTCAACTTTGCTTTGGATAATTACAGGCAATTCTTGAATCGAACGAAAGAAAAAAGCAAAAATGAACTTATTCACAAAGCCTATTTTTCGATCGGTACCATTCATGCTGCATTGAATCGAAATGAACAAGCTGTACGTCATTTTGGTGATGCTATTAGAACGAGTAGTGGCAGTATGGAAGACGAACAAAAAGTTTATTATCTACATCGAGGACGGGCCCATGCATTTTGTGCCGATTTTAAGGCGGCTCGGGATGATTTATATATTGTTATTATAGAAAGTAATAATTCTTTTTTTAAGGGTTGTGCTTATAATGAATTAGGTCAACATGATCAGGCGCTTCAACAATTTAATCTTTTTTATGAAAGTCAGTTAAGAAATAATAATAAATCATCGTCATTAGTTGAAATACTCGATGATCATGCTCGATTTCGACGTGGTCTATCCTACGCAAGTCTCAATCGTCATGATAATGCAATAGCTGATTATCAACGTATCCTTGATAATTCAAATAGATCAACTTCATCAACAATAGCTGATCGAATATTCTTTCGTAAAGGTATGTCAAGTATGGCTCTCAATGATGTACATGATGCTTTAATCAATTTTAATAAATCGATATCATTCAATAATCATCAATCTGATGTATTCTATGCGCGTGGAATGCTTCATTTTACATTAGGACGACATGATGCTGCTGTTAATGATCATCGACATGCATTAGAACTTGGTGAAGCAAATTCAATAGTACCATCTATCTATCAAACATTCTATCATACACATAAATATAATCGAGACGATGTTAACTCTCACGTTTTTCATCAAAAGAAATTACGTGAAGCTGAAACAGCACTAAAACATTGCAAAGAACAAGGATTATCTCTCGAAGAACCACACCGACAAATAGCTGAACATCAACAACAATTTGCTCCGTATACACATGATCCTGAAAAGACTCATCATCTAGCTCAAAAGCATATTCAAGAAGCACTCAGCTTTTCAACTACTAGACAAATGTACGATGACATAACGTTTGCTATTAGCAAACTTTATGAAGCTCAAATATTGTGCGATAAATACCCAGGTGGAGTAGCATCCGAACGTATCGTAAATCAGTTTGTTACTTCAACAATGGAAGGTATTCTAAAAATGTCTGAAATATTCCAAAAATGTGCACTGGAAACTAATTGGGAAGATCTGTTGAACACATTATATGAATTAAATGATATTTCAGATACAAAATCGAATAATCCTTTTAATTTATTTCGTTTGACATATGTTCGAATTGAGTTGAACAAAGCTAAAATGATACAGAAAACAAGCGAAAAATTTAAAGATTCTCCTCAACAACATGAATTTTGTATGTTGTTAGTGATTCGTTTATGCAATTTGTTCGACGCCACGCGTGCAGCTACGACAGGTATCTTTCAACATGCACTTACAGGTACTTTTACTAAAGTATCTTACATTCCTAAGCTACTTGGATACATATGTGATTTTTTACCTATGGGTAGTGAAGTTGTTAAAAGTGTTTTCAGCATATGTGAAAGCGGTTTGAAACAGCTCGATGAAATTCGTATTCAAAATGCATTAATACATGTGGGATGTCTCGATAATCGAGAGAAATTAAATGAAACTGCAGATAAAATTTCTGACAAATTAACTATTATGTACAAACGACAAGTTCAACGATTTCCTGCTTCGAAAGATGATCCAAATATCGTCAAGAAAAATGATGAAAAGAAATCATGTTGGTGTACTAAGTGCTGCCAATCGTGTTGTAATTGCTTAAAAAAATCTAAAAACCGTATTCTTAATGAGCGTGAAGCTTCCAATATACAGAATATTGTTCAATATGCATTTGAACTTCTTGTTAATAGTCTTACAGAACTCGAAGTCTCGGAAGTGAATAATACGGCTGATTTAAATAGTTTCTTTATTAATTCCATATGTCATTTGTCTTACTTGCCGAAGATTTATTGTCATATTGCTTTGACGAAGATTCAACCGAAAGATGCTATTAATGATGCAGATTATTGGAATACATATGATTTCTTTCGAAGACCTGGTGTTCGATTTGAAGAGAATGATATTAGAGCTGATAAATATATGGATGTAAAAAAGTTTGATTATCGTGAACCTTCATGGAATGAAGTTCGTTGGTACAAAAATGATCAAAAGAAATTAGATACATTAGGTTTCAAGAAATATAATGAAAGTTAGAACTATGTCATCAGCCACATTGAATCAGAATTTATTTTTATTCAAGATTAAATGATTTATATATATGAGCGATCTGCAATCTCATTGCACTGTTTCGAGTTTTTCACAAATATTAGCAATAACTCTAGTTCCTGTTGACCGATTTGAATAATTGTCTTTGTTTTGATTCACTACGTAATCCTCACTACTAGGCTAAAAAAAATGAACTTTTTATCGTACGTAGTTCTCATGATATGAGCGCCAAAAAACGCAAAATTCTAATTTTTGGCGACGCCTATCGATTTCAAATAGGATTTTGTTTTGTTATTTTCGGTTCTTACTGTTAATTTAACTTCTTAACCACTTTATAAAGAATAATTGAAACGTTTAGAGAATATAAATGACCTGCTAGAAAGTTATACTTTTCACAATAAATTTTAATGACCTTTCAGCTGACAGACGCTTCGCATGTCGTCAATTTTCCATTAAAATCTACGGTTCTACGGTTTACTCATTTTTAATCAAGTTTTTTATAATGGATCTATTATTCTAATATTTTCAGGCTTGAATAGATCGATTTCGACTGCAAAAAATCAATTTCAATATGCCACTGTTCACTTTGTTCGATGACGCCACACATTGCCTATCGGTTAAGTCTTCCAAGTAATGTCTATCTTTGTGGCGTCATCTTTAATAAATAATTAAACTCGAAAACAAAGTGACAGTAACTGATGTAAATGATACAGGGGGCTTGTGCGCACTCACAATAACAAAGGGATACGATGTCAACTGAAATCTAATATTTTTCTACGAGTTTAAAAATATTCATGCACTCAGATACAAACAAACTTTTAAAGTAGGAGAGCAGTAGTTATCCGGTGGTTTTCTGGCTGTTCGAATGACATGATTCGTCGATTTTTGGATCTGCGAGACTAAAAAAAATAGTTGAGGACAGAGAGATTCATACAAAATATGTCGTATTATAGAGAAATAAAGGAGCTATCTTTTCATGAAAAGTTCAGTTTCTCTGCATTGTCATCTGATCAGAAAGTAGAATAAAAATAAAAAATCATAATTGTCGCACAAAATGTCTTGTGAGATCTTTTGGTCAATACCCATACCAAATCGTCAATAAACCCATACTTATTTTACATCAATCGATTCCTTTCTGAAGGCACTATCGAGCGTTATTGATAGCGAAGCGACGTCATCTCCGATAGCAGTAAGTTTTGTTTTTCTCCAGGGGACATTTGTGTTAACCTATCCAAAGTTCGTTTCGATTGCAGTGAACATAATGGTTTTACCTGAAGGAGTTGGTATAAAGAGGCAACGTGAATGCAACATGAGCTACTGAATTCGTCTCGTCGAGATCTATCAAACGATATGTCTCACTTTTACTTTATATCAATTTTTAGTGATTTATAAGAAAATGACTTCGAGGCCATAATGATTTCCTGGAATCTCTGTGTCTCCACGGCCTTTATAATGGCAGTCAGCAATTTGTTTCCTGTTATCTTCTAACTTATAATAACAAAAATCAGTGAATCAAAACATTTTATTTTGAAACTTTCTGTCACATACGGTACACATGAGATTGTAAATCGTTCATATTATAGTTCTAATAAATTTCATCCCATTCGTTCTCCAAAAGCATAGCAAATATAGGCAAAGGTTCTATAAAAGGCATAATTGCTTGAAATTCTTCTTCACTATATGTTCTTGCAGGTGGACTTTTGTTTCTTGATGGTATTGATGTTGATGTTGGCTTTTGAGTCAATTGGCGACGAAGAGCAGCCAAATCTGCATTGACCTTACTCAATTCATCTTCATATTTGTTCGCATGTTTTCGTAAATCACTAATTTGTTGTCCGCTTCGTTGTTCACTAGCTTTAACAAGATCATCGACTGCTTGTCGATCTGGTTTTATTTTGTTGAGATTATCAATTTGACTTTGAAGATTTTGGATTGTAACTAAATAATTGTTCAATCTTTCTTGTAAGTCAGGGACATAATTATCATGAAGTACTTGATCTATACCATCAGTTGATATGTTCTTTTGATCTCTTAATGTCCCTTCTACGGCATTATTGGACTGTGGAACAGTTGTTTGATTTGACTTTTCAGCCGGGAGATTTTTTTTGTTAACGTTCAGTTTCTCTACCGATCCTGGATGTTGAAAATTCGATGTGGATGCTATCGATTGAGTCTGCACAGCATTTCCTACTAGTGGTATATTACGAATGGCATCGCCTGGTTTCATCTCGTTATTTCTAGACGCATTGAAACGATTTTCGAGTTGAATGAGACGTTGTTCAATCGAGAGAATGTCCTGCACTTGAGTAAATGGACTTGATGGAAGCTCTGATTGTAACTTACGTTTTTCTTCTTGATGAACGGGTTTACCTAGTGGTGCTTTTTGTGAAGTCGGTTGATTTTTTATAATAGTTTGACCATCAAGCTCTTTTCTATCAATATGATTATGATTAATGTCGGTGGATTGTGAAAGTTGATCAAATTGTTTTTCTAACTTTGCAAGTCTATCATTCATGTCTCGGATTAACTTGCGTAACTCACTATTATCGTTTTGTTCTATTGGCTTGATACTTTCAATAGCATCACGAATGAGCTTTTCGACTTCTGCACGCGAAATTGTTTTAGTTGACGATATCGGTTTTGTCGATAAATCATTAAGTCTACTCTCTAACTTTTTAACATGTTCATCAACATTACGAGTTAATTGTTCAATAAGACTTTCTCTTTTCATAGCTTCTTTTTCACTTGTTGTAATTGCTGATTTTAATGTTGCCTGTGTAAGTCCTACTGGTATGGCATCATATAATTGACGCATACGAGAAATACTTTCGCGTAGATCTTTAATAATGGCTGATGCTTGAATCAATTGTTCGATTTGCCGTTTGTCAATAGTATAATTTTCTATTTGTTGGCGAAGTAATTCAAATTCACGTTTCGTTTCATGTATGCGTTTAGTTTCTTTTTCTTCGTAGTCTCTTTTCCATGATTCTTGTTGTTTTCTAAGTTGTTCTTGACTTTCTCTCAATCGACGTATTGTTTCTGGCATATTCAAAAGAAAAGTATTATTTGAATTTATTTGTGCTAATGTATTCATTTTATCAATGAATTCGTCGAGTTTTCTTTGAATTTCATCAAGCCGATTTCTCTCTGGCATGTTGGGTAGATGAAAAAGCCTAAGTATTAAATCAATAGTAACAATAGAGCATTATTAAATAATTGAGTTGATAACAGAGCTTCATAAAACGCGAAATCAAAACCGGATATGATAAAGAGAAATAAGTGGAAGGCGTGAGACGATATGAATGAAAAGGAGGCGGCTCAGCAGTGTTGTGGAATCTCGAATGGAAATTGTTGTACACATTATTAGTACGAAAAGTACCGATATTCCAAACCAAAATAACAAAGTTAGTCAAGCTTTGTTCCAGTACGTACTATAACTACTATCGAGGTGGAACAAGCACGCTCGCGAACGATCGTAAATCATCGTATTTTGGTGTATTACATGACTTTGCATTATGATCGTAAACGTAGTCGCTTACTGATGTGGGAATATCTTCAACTGTCCTCTTTAGATTTCAATGATTTTTTTTGCCTATAGACACTACATAGTGTTCTAATAAAAATCTAAAAAGACCTTGAGTTCATATTGAGATTTGACTAAGTTAGCAAGTATTTTTCTAGGGACTCAGGTTTTTGGAAAACTCGTATTTTCAAATTTTGATTTGAAACTTTGTGCATATAGAAAACTCAACTAGAAGAATTTCCATGAAAAAATTCAAAAGTTTCGAACGAAGTCTCTTCAAGATATGAAGTTTTGAAAAAATCCATGTTGTATACACTGTTTATGGAAAAGAGCCCGTATCTTGAAAGTGTCATGTCTCGTAGAGACTTTATTTAAAACTTCTGATTTGCTTAATGGAAAGTAATGCAGTTGAGTTCTCTATATACGCAAAGCTTTAGTTCAAAACTTGAAAAAATGAGTGTTTCGAAACCCTGGGATTCTACAGGGGCTTCTAGAAAACAGACATATTAAAAATTTGATAGCTTAGTCAAATACCAATAGGAATCCAAATTCTTTTAGGGCTTTTATTAGAATACGATATAGTATCCATAGACCAAAAATTATTGATATCGGAAGGAAGCGCCTATATATTTCTTAGTATATAACTTTGAGTGCTTAAAACAATAGTATGCATTTTTCGATGAAAATAATTTGAAAAACTTTCAATCATGCTTTAAAACAAATTAATTATTCATCGGTAATCATGTTTACTAGATGAAATATTTGCTAAGATTGAACCTTAATTAATTGACATGGTGCTCGAACTGCATATAGACATATATCTGGAACGAATTTAGTACACTAAAATAGTTCAAAACTTTTGCTACTCAGATATTATCAAGGTCTAGAATAGAATGATTTTTACAAGACGCAAAAAGTTAATAAAATACTTTCAAAAGGGAATGCGGATAAAGAAAAAAAATGAGAAGAGAGATAGGATGGCACGATTTCTTAGGCATCCCGTAGAACCCTTATTCATAGTGGTCTTCAGCGTTTAAAATAAAAAAATCTCTGTTGTTATAAATCGTTTTTTCTCGATATGCTTACGGTATGGATGGCTCGTCTGGAATGTCGCTGGGTATTTGATTATCTGTGGAGTGTTCGATATCGCTCGTCTACATTGCAAATAGGCACAATAAAATAGACAATTCAATAGTAAACGATACATTACTGTCTCTATATGACCATCATGTGTTACTCTAATCTTAACCGGATGTATACGTCGCGCATATTGTCTCTATTAATGAAGAACAATGAAATTCGTTATACTGATCAACCGTAAGCAAAGTACTTCTATTCGTCGAAATTGATGTTGTAATTCCTTCTTGATTTTTTCCATTTCCTGGCAAAGTAATTTATATTGTTCTTCACCCAATTCAATTAACCTAAAAAGAAATATTGTCTAAATGAACCCAATCATGGTATATTGTCTATTCTAAATTTTACACTTCAAGTAGTGCTTCATCATATTTACGTCGATTTTGACGTCCAATTTCAATATCCATTAGTCGATTTTCATATTCGGCCTCTGTTACAATGTATCCATTTCTATTTAGCTACATACATACATAGAAAAAAATTTAAAAAAAACTAGCGATCTTTATAATAGCACATAAACATACTAAACCAGCCCTGCGTAAATGCTGTTTTATGCGATTTTTTGTGAAGTGATTTTGCAAATGCGCATCAGTAAGACTGCAGTACGGCCTACAATATGTGAAAAAAAAATGTTTAAATAGAATTTTTATTATCTTAATTTTAGACTGAAAAAATGAAGACGTACGTAGCTGGTGGTATTGGAGCTGACATTGATTACTTGAATGACAGTTGATTGATTTTGGCTTGTAATAAATAAACGAGACAAGTTTTATTTATATTTTTTTGTCAAAGTCAAGTAATAGTGTAAGTTTTGAGAATGAATAAGCATTGTAAAAGTTTGTTCGCAAGAAAGAAGAAAAACTCGTTCTGCCTACTACTCAAACACACGATACTCATTCTTTTTTTGTGTCGTTTCTATGACAGCCATTTTCTAGTGTGATAAATAATAGAAGACCAATCATGTTGCTTGCATTTTTTCTTCTTCCTCTTTAGTCATTGACTTGAAATAAATTTCCATACGTGACTGTGACAGACATAATAAACCTTGGGAATTAAAACAAAAATATTTGTTGAAAAGAGAAGAAAGCACAGCAGCGATAGGCTACTAAAACATTGTCGAAAAAAACGTTTAGTCAATTTATGAATAACAACTCAAGATTCTCAAATTGTTGAAAATCGTTATTAAGAAGGTAGATAATTGAGATGCATAGATTGCATTTAGTTAAGAGTTAAGTCATTCTTAGAGACGAGTGTTACTTGTCAAGTACAGTTGATTGAGATTTTCAGTAGAACTTGCTTCATTGACACTGATAATTCTAATTGTGACACTGTCTTGATTGCATTGATTGACAACAGTTTTCAATTTGTTGCATATCGATTTGATCGATGTGTGTACACCCTTAATTTTGGTCCAGGTTTTAGTCCAGGCTTCATGCCGTTGTTCGTTGTCACATAAGATATAAATGGCTTCTAATTTTGCCATTTTATGTATGTCAGGTACAAGATGTTGTCCAAGTGCACCCGAAGAGATAACAAACGAGGTCTTCTCCTTGTTTTCTTGAAGATTTTGGATACACTCTTCCGCTGTAGTGCATGTATTAACTTCGTTGACGACACTGCGCAGTTCTGCGAATATATTTTAACAATCTTCATTTGCAAAGTCAATATTTCCATCAGCCCAGATGACTAAGTAGTTCTCAGTCATACGTTGTCGTCGTTGTCGGCTCATTGTGAAAATCATTTTTGGAGTTTCATCGATACTAGACTCTGATGAATAGTAGATTATTGTTTGCATAGAGACCACTATTTTCGATTTATATATTTGCTGTTGACTGTTTTTATCTAGATTTTTCTGGCACGTCAAATGTGAGTGTTTTTTTCGGTGACACTTAAGGCCAAATTCCATGTAGTTTCATTTGATAATATGGTTATTAGCGACCAATGAAAGAGAAAGAGCTCCGGCAACATCATTTATTTTATGGTCATTCTTTACAACTTTCGTTTGCTTTTTTTGTATATAAATTTTTATTGTTTCTATAAAACTAGATTAACAATGCAAGATACGAGAAAGTAAAGAACTCGTAAATAGAACAATAAGAATAAGTCACCAAAAAGAAAGAGAAAATGAGCCTATCTTAATCGTAAATTTTCAGGCTAGTGAAATCTTATGCTGGAGAATAATAATAATGGAGATGGAGAGAAGATCGAGAAAAAAAATTGTTGATAATTGTGATCATAAACCATACAGGGTAGGTTAACGAATAAAAAAAGAAATGAAAATTTAACAGATTAGGCAGTGAGTATGGGGGTTCGGGTGAATGTCGGTGTGAAGGTAAGAAGAACACTCACACCCACATCCTCACATTCACACAAAAAAAATTTGGTTTGCAACCATCAGATTATTTTCCGTAGTAGTTAATTCATAAAATCTTTTTCTCGTTGGTTTCAATGAATGCAAAAAGATATAATGTAGCATTAGATAAAGTCGAATGAATTTCATTTACTTTTTTCTATTGACATTGAATATGCAGATTGGTAAGTGATATTGTACTAAAAGGGAAATTCTTCGAATCTTTTATGAGCACATAGATTCTTTGCATGAAAAATTAGAATTATTTATGAATAAGAATATTTTTTCTCTTTACAAAACCTAATACAACGAAAAGAATAATTGATTATTCAAGTCAACATTGATAAACATTGTTTTTATTATTTCTTTTTTAAATATAAAATATAAAAAAATAACAACAGGATGCATTTATTTTATCTTTATCACCATTCTTATTTTTCTAATTGTTTAACAAAATGATTACTGTTTTACAAAAATTTTCCTCTTTGTTTTGTTTGTTTCTTATTTTGTTTTCGTTTGTTTTATCTGTCATTATCGAAGAATATTGTTTGTTTAATCCCACCTTTTTTTGTTTGGCTCGTTCTCTATGGCTTTTATTATCGAACATTATCACATGTATGCTGGGCTCTTTATATTTTCTGTTAAGAGAATGAATTTATGATTAAAATGTATACTTCTTTAAATGTTAATCATTAGCCTTGGACTAAAATGTCGAGGAAGTGATGAAACACATCTAAACATATTTGTGAGATATATATAGAAATATATTCCATCTGATATTTTTTACCCAAGCGATGAATTTCGATAATTCTTATCGTATTCAACTAAAATACTGAAATAACTCCGTACATAGAATCTTCGTAAGTATCAATAATGATAGATGAATAAATATTGTTTTTTTTTCAACAGCTAGAAACTTAATCATCATTTACATACTATCTAATATGTATAAAAAGCAATTTTTTTCCAATATGAATATCAAATTCAAATCCTGATTGATATCAGCTATTGATGAAAATCATGTTGATTGTCTCAATATCAATGAGTAAATAGATCTATTTGAGCAGCAAGTTGACGAAATTAATCAAGATGGTGAATTGAAGGTAAAATTTATTAAAATTCTTTAATTTATTTACAAATTAAAGAGTTATGATGATGGTGATACAATGATTTGTTAGATTTAAGAAAATTTAACATGTACGTTGATAATGTACAATATTCAAAAGGAGAGGAAATAATGAAAGATTAAAGGCGGTTGAAGTGGGTGTGTGGAT